AAAGCCCTAAAAGTATCAAAGTTGTGTTTTTCTAAATGAAATACCCTATATATTATTGCATTTTTGGATTCTCTGAGCAAAATAAGTGTTTGTTTTAATAAGATTTATAATGTCTAAATCTCAAGGTTTTTTAAATAGCTCGAATTTTATCAAAATCTAAACTAATTTTCACGTTTCAAATACTTTAGAAGTATTTAAGTTATGTAAGCGTAATTTATAGTGAAGTGTAACAAGATATAATATTTTATATCCCAATGATAATAAACTTACCATGTTATACAGGGTGCCCACAAATTTAAATTAATCAAATAAGAACTTTAAGCGGCTCTAACTTGATTAATTTAAATACAACCCCATATTTTTTAACTTACCAGGAAATGCCTTTCTTCATCTTCAGTGGCAGATTTCCTTGTAATGCGTTTTTATAATTGACACCCAGTTTCCTCAAATTGGTGTAATAAGCGCTTAAAAACTGTTGCCTTAGGATGATTTCTTTCAGGAAACTTTTGAGCATAAACTCGAGAAGCCAATAAACAATTTTTACGACATTCTCCAAGGGTCAAAATCATGTCAATACGCTCTTCTCTTGGATAAATCTTCATTTTAACTTAGCAACACAATAATAATATTAAAATAACCACCAACGGGTCTACAATTACAAAAAACAATACCACTCTAGCTATCAAAAAGAGACTTTGCAGTCTAAACTGACAAATAAAATAAATGATTTGACATGTGTAAATGGCATAGCCAACTTAGATACATTTGAACCTTAAATTAAACACCACCAAATGGTGCACAGAACGACTATTTGACGTATTTTGTAAAAAGGCAAAAACTTGACTATTAACATCCTAATACCATTCGATAGATAATTAAAAATTGCATTTCCTGGTAAGTTAAAAAATATGGGGTTGTATTTAAATTAATCAAGTTAGAGCCACTTAAAGATCTTATTTGATTAATTTAAATTTGTGGGCACCCTGTATAACATGGTAAGTTTATTATCATTGGGATATAAAATATTATATCTTGTTACACTTCACTATAAATTACGCTTACATAACTTAAATAC